AACTGCGTGTACCCTTTCCTTAGGCCGACTTCGTTTTTCTAATGTTTTTTACTTTACTTAACCGTGAGCGCTGAATATTCTCCCATTACCTCGCATAAATCCATCGCCTGATCCTACTCTGCTGTCCAGCTGTTTGCAGCTGAATTTCCTCTTTTCATATGCACCAACTACCACCAATGTCAAGCCGTCGCGCCTTTTCTACTGTAGCTTCGCACATTTTTCGTACGACCTCAAATATTTAGCTACGCTGCGAGGTTCTGTGCTTCCCGCAAACTGACCTTTGCTAATCTTAATAATTGTTTCTCTATTTAACCATAACAACTTTGAAGATTCCCACTTCAGCTTGCTTCATATCTTTCAGCTAATCCTACTTCTTCGCTGCTCTCTTTAGCTCTGGTTTTCTTCTCCAGTTATTTAACACCTGCCGCCGAAGACCCGCCGATTCACCTTTGTTATTGTAGCGACCTATTGGTGTACGTATGGCCTCTGGGATTTGGCTATGTTGCATGCGTTCAGCTTTACCCCAAATTCTAACTTTCCTCTTCTCTAATTATGGTTCCCTTAGTTTATTGCATATTCTCGCTTCACTAGGCTTCTTAGCCTTTGTTTTGTCCCACTCCTCCACTTAAGCGTTTGACCATGACTTTTCGGTCCATTGACGCAACACCTACCTACGCTGCTCTACCCACTGACCTTTGACACTCTAGCTTCGCAGTTTGGACTTATATACTTCGCAATACAGCGCACATACATCCATACTCCCGTGCACACTTCTTTGACCACTTCTAGTAATCGTTCTCTTAACCGCAACAACGATGCATGGAGTGTCTTCACCTCGCGTCCCATTAAGCTCTTAAGCACGAGCGGATTTTTCTAGACAGCTAATTAGACGTGGACACTCATAACCTTCGGCGTTTAATGGACTTACTTTTGGCAAGCTAACTCTACCATCGAATTGTTCGCCTGAAGCGCTGTTTTGTCCACATATGTAGACTTATAGCCTTGCATGCTCCTCAACTCTAGCGTCGTTGCAACTAAGGCAGTCCCTCTTATCACTACCGACTCTCTGCTTAACTGACCACACGTCAGTATTATCACTTGGTCTACAGAGCACGAGCGTACTCTACTACGAAGATAAACCGGCTCTTACTTTCACTGCTCCCTGCCACCTAGTGACCAATGAGTGACACCGTAGGGCTCCAGCTTCAAGTGGTTCACTTTATCCATTCAGGCGCCGTTGACCCACTTCATGCCGCAATTGCTGTTGCCCAAAGTAGCTTGTTTGGCATCCCTATCTGTGCTACAGGTGCGGCAATTTTCCTATCGAGTATCGCCTTCCGCTGAAACCGTCGCTTTTTCAGCAGCTTAACCCACACCCTGCGTACGGCGTCTTACGTTCGCTGAACAGTTCCACATATCCTGATTTTTAGTTGTTGTATACCGATGGCCCTTTTTCAACGCCAACGTAAGTAGACACCCACCTGCACATGACGCCGTAGCTTGCATATAAACAGAACGAGATAAAGAGAGTGATGAGACTCCAGGTCGCCAGCACTGCTCACTTACTCAATGCCGTTGGGAATAGTTCCTTCCACTGAACTTTTTTCCATACGCCTTTGCGATTCCTACCTAGAAGGGTTAAAGAAACTTAGCTTGCTCGTTGTATCTCGGTAAAGCCCTTAAATGTAATCCACGTATGCCCCAAGGCATAGGCAAACAGCCGGACCACAAAATCAGGCACTTTGTCCCAGTTTCCTCCGATTTGTACAGTTAGTTGCATATCCGTAGCATCATCGGAACTTCTCAACAAAGGACTAGCGTCCTGTGAGTGTTCCACCTGCTGGTGTTCAATGGCGTTATGCTCCGTACACCTTACCAGTGGAGTTCTACAGGGCGGAAAACTTACAAGCAAAACCACTTTACTTCTATAATACCACACAAAACTTCTCTCCCTGAAAGTTCTCTTCTCAGTTGCAATAGTTCTTCTTTTATCATGTGTCTGCGAAGCTCACATGTCCCACGGTTTATCGGTTTGGTAGTTTATGCTACATATGGCACAGCTCACCCTCCTTACTCTGAGGTTCTTGCACACCTCCAAACCTACACCATAATATACATAGCCCTTTTCCGAGCAGTATTGCCGTTTCAGTCGCTAATGTTGTATGCTGACTAAGTCCCGTTCAGTCAAACGAAAAACGCGTCACAGCGACTGCGATTAGCAGTGCGGAAAACTGCTCGTAACGTGGCATTATCAATGGCGCATTGCTATTCTACTCGTATTCAAAGGCACTGTTTCATGCTGTGGTGGGGTACCGCCTGGCAAGCCTTCGCCCTATAAAAGCCACACATGTCGCATTAACAACACTGCGGCCTGACGGATGTGACGCGCCACCAAAGTAAAGTCACTGCCCACTGCTAAAAACTGACAACATTCCGATAACAAAAATCTGTGAACAAAACGGCGCAGGAACCAATGGTTATCCGTTTGCCAAACGGTGTTTATCAACCCGACTTTCGGATTTACACGCACGCAGAATAAGTGAGGTCAATCTCCTGAACTATTCAAGATCCCACGTGGCTGGCTAGCCGAACAACCTTCCGTGATGCCAGCTGGGTGAATCGTCTTTATCACGTTCCAGCACACCTTTAAACTGCAGCGTTCCAGGATGTGCTGGGGTTTCACCCGGCAAGCATTCTCCCAATACAAACCCACAGATATCAGTTTAACAACACTGGACCGCTGCAGATGTGACTCGCCACCAAAGTACGTCTCTGCCTTTGCTTTTCCTGAGGAATAATCAAACGTCACGTGGGTCATCCAATTCGAAGCGTACCTCTGGTTTCACCATTTGATGGCGAACCCCGCGTAAAAGCACAGAGTCACGTTTACAAACTCACGCAATATGGCTACTTAAAACTACACACTTTAACAAACTTCTACATGTCAACACACACCTAAGTTCTCATGCTGTTGGTCAAAAGGTAATAAGTTGTACGAGTATCGTTCACGCTTGTCTGCGTTCCTATGTTCAAAGCCATTGAAAAGAGTTTCCTTATCTGGACATGCGCGGAAGGTTATCAACCGTTTTTACAACTTGCTAAAGGGACAAAGCATTCGTTATCTCGTACGGCTACCATCTTTCTGAGGTATGAACCATTTGGGTTAAGTTTGCTTAACACTATCTCTTCCACCTATCTCTTACCTGGATCACACCTTTTGTCTTCGGAGTGCACCTTCTCCTGCCGACACAAAGCCAGAACACTCGGACATTCGGAGCTCTTCAATCCTCCTTGACCGCCCAATTGGCCGTGGTTTCTCAGCTTCCCAATCAATTTTACTGCATACCCCTGGGGTCTGCGATTCTCTTTTCGGAACCATATCCTGCCCTTCAAGACTTCAACAACAATTCAACATGTTTCAATGCATTTCCCCTGGTGACTTCACGTGGTTCTGCAGATTATCAACATGTCATATTCAAGAAGAACATTTCGTTCCTGACTTACCAATCGGGCACTGCTATTCGTTCAAAAGTGGACATGACACAGGAACGAAATAGTCACTCGTCTAACGCATCAGCCAACCGAAAATGGGACGTAACTTGCATGCAAATAACCAGACAACCAAATATTTAACAAGAAACCTAGCCAGATACAAGTTGCCATTCAATGGATCTGCGGAAGTGTTGCAGAACGTGGTTGATTTCCGCCTGGCAGGCGTTCTTCCTATCAAATAAAAATATGTCCGGTTAACAACAATTCAACGTGGCTAATGTGACTCGCCACCGAATAAAGTCACAGCCTATAACTTCACACTGGCAGGTCAACTAGCGTCACCATTCTAGATATTTTCCGTACACTAGTACTTCTACGGCTGCACAGCGTGTTGTTCTTTCCTTCTACGACTTCACGCATATGCTGTTGTTGGGTGGAGCCTGGGATACTAGTCGGTAAGCAATGACACGTAAGACGTGTCAAATACGACAGTATAGAAGTGGGAGGCAACTGAACCCAACGTATATTGTGCAGGCTAAAAGAATAGGAAGCGAATCAGAGATATCGAGAAACGTGCAGCAAGGT